GCACAGTCTTTGGTTCATGCTCTAGCCCAACTACTGAGGACAACCTGGTGGGTTTGATTGATTTGCTAGAGTGGCTTACAGAACTCAGGGAAACATATTTATTAGTTTATTATAAAGGATTTTACAAAGGATATGGATGAAGAAATGCGTAGGGTGAGGTCTGGGGCATGGAGCTTCTGTGCCCTCCTTGGGTGTGCCACCCTTCAGGGATGTCCAGGGGTTCAGCTATCTGGAAGCTCCCTGAACCCTGTATTTTGTGCCCTTTATAGAGACATCATTGGTTGTCCACATTTGAAGCATGGATATCAGTGTCAAAATGTGATTGGACAGCAAAGGTCTGATCTGAAATTGAGGCCTGTGTGTGCTGATTCCTCTTAGTCTCTCTTGTGCATTCCTTCCTCCAGGGGATGGGGCAGGAATGAGGGTTTTATGATCCACAATCAGATTATAGTCCTGCTTGGGAAGGTGGGCAGGAGACTATGAGAGAGAGAAAGAGAGAGAAATTAATTTTCTGTTTCCTGAGCCCGAAGCATCCTGATATTACAACAAAAGACTTTAAGGAGAGCTGTAGGAGTTATGAGCCCGGCAGGTAGGATGAGGACATCTATCTATGTCTCTCTCTCTTTATCTATCTATCTGTCTATCTATCTATCTGTCAGTCATCATCATCCCACAATATCACATAAGATCCGTTACTGCCAGAGGAGCATTTCTGTTACTAACAGTAATCGTACAAGCGTCATTCTCACCAAGACTGTGATCCATGATGAGCAAGAGGCGGGAAGAGAATGCATCTCAGGAAAGAGCTTGAGTGAATAAAGTCAGAAGACAAATCTGTATTGGTGGCACCCGTAGCTCCATGGGTAGGGCTCCTTGCCACATACACCAAGCCTGGCGGGTTCGAACCCGGCCTGGGCCAGCTAAAGCAACAATGACAATTGCAACAACAAAAGAATCGCTGGGTGGTGTGGTGGGCGCCTGTAGTACCAGCTACCTGGGAGGCTGAGGCAGGAGACTTGCTTAAGCCCAGGAGTTTGAGGTTGCTGTGAGCTGTGATGCCAGAGCATTCTACCCAGGGGGACAGCTTAAGGCTCTGTCTCAAACAAACAAACAAACAAACAAAAAAACAACAAACCAATCTGTACAGATAGATTTCTTTTTCCAGCTCTCTGCCTCAGGTAGGGTGAGCATAGAGCAGAGTGTTGAGGTCTGTTAGATGGTCTGACCCACGGTAACTGTCAGTGAGGGCGACTTTGCACTTGGAATAGGAAATGGCCAGGTGCTGGTCTTGAGGACAGCTGTGAGGTGTGCTTGCCCCATTCCAGGACCCCTGTGATGTAACTGGAGTGTAAACTACAGGATGGTAAAAGAGGGAAGCAAACTGTTTAACTTTGGTGCCCAGGAGGGGCAAATGTTTCAACATTGCAATTCTTGCTTTTGATAAAGCTATGTACTTACATTTTCATTCTAACTTGTAATTGAAACACTTTTGAGGTAAAATACTGAGACCTTCCTGTGTGACTTTTTTCCTCCCAGCTACCTCTGAACAGTCCAAATAAGATTTATGAGTTACACGTAACTGGACGTGCCCAGGATGAGATTTTATTCTCTAATAGGACGCGCTTATCATTTGAGACCAAGAGAATATCTGTCTTCATTCAAACAGACAAGGCCCTCTACAAGCCAAAGCAAGAAGTGAAATTTCGCATTGTTACACTCTTCTCAGATTTCAAGCCTTACAAAACCTCTCTGAACATTCTCATTAAGGTAAGTGCTAGACAGAAATGAAACCAGGAATCTAAGCCATCTTACTAAAGCTCTCTTGGAAGTTCTGCTCATGTTACCCTGGAGTACCTTATAATTCACCCAAGATAAGTTCCTCCTCTACATGGGACCCCTCTATCTAGAAAAGGGAATGGTATAGCACTGAGTTAAGAGGTCAAGTGCCAAAGCTGGCCTGTTCAACTGTAGTCCTGGCTTCTTGAGAGATGTATCCGTTTGTCAAACATTATTGAACTTCTGTGTTCCAGGCATTGAGATACAGCATTGAATGGAACAGATTAAGTCCCTGCTTACACTGAGTTTATTTTTCAGCACATGTGAGGAGACAGACAACAAACACATACGTGTATAAAATTTATAGATATGTAAAGGGACCGGTGTGTATGTATTTGTGTATGTGCAAGAGAGAGTCTGCTTTTGCTATTTTCTGTAGGGTTGTCAGGGAAGATGTCTTTATGCAGAGATGTAATGGAAATAAAAGAAGGAGCCCACACACACAGAGGGAAGAGCATGGGGAAAGGCCCTGGGGTGGGGGGAGCTTGTTCGGTGCCTTGCAGGAGCAGTAAGCTGGCCAAGTGCTGGAGCCCAGGGCTCGAAGGGACAAGTGTTAGGAGCTGAGGTCAGATACAAGCAGGTGGGTTGGGCTCATGCAGGGTCTTGTTGGTCATGTTGTGTTTTTTTTTTTTTCGACGTGGTGGGAGGATTCTTTGTTGTATTCTTGTGGGGGGGGTGGTGTTGTGTTCTTTCTTTTCTTGGGGTGATGCTGCTCTGTTCTAAGAATGGACACTAGCTGTGAGATCTTGGAGAAATTAATTAACCTTCCTGAGTCTCAGTTTTCTTATGTGTAAAATGTGTTAAATAATAGTAATACCTTACAGAGTTTTTGTGGGGATTAAGTGAGATGATTCAAGTAAACCCTTTATAACTGTGGCTGTATATCGTACAGTCTCACTAAAATTAACTATTATTATTATATGAACCCCTTTTGACAGGTAGTTGTTTGGCCCCTGTTATTTGAAGATTTACTACTTTCCTGTGGGAATCAAGGGGAAGACAGTTAGATCCAGCCGGGCCTAGTTTCCTATGTTTAAGCTGAGGTGAAAACTAGCTTTTGATCATTGCATAGCAATAAGGTGGCTTACTTACCTTAGTTTGCTTTGGGCGCTCCAAATTTTAAAACTGAGGGTCCCTGGTCCCAGGAACCTTCTCAGTCTCAGGACATTGGTCACCCCAAGCATTCTAATGAATAGCAGAGGTTGCTGTGAGCCATGCTGTGAATCTGCCTCTGTGTGAGACAGATTCAGGCCTTTTAGTTCAGTATTTTCCTATTTTTAGTTTCTTTGTTGTTATAAATTAAAATAGCAACAACGATGATGAAAGAGTAACAACAATGAGGACAACAACAAAAACCAACCAAAGAAACATGTTTACATATAATTTCGAGCTAAGATATATTTGTAGCAAATACCACATTGGCGGGCCCATGCTCAATGCATATTTCCTTATTTTTTTCAATGCGTATTTCCTGGATTGAACTAGTATGATTCTGTCGTTCTCAGTGCTGTGAATTTCTGCCTTTGCCATGCCCTGGAATGTCTATAGAGCAGACTGGCATGGCGAATGGCATTTCTAAGTTCATGTGCTTCTCTGAGCACAGCTGAACTGACTCCATTTATACCACCCTTCATCATTTATTCACATATATGGAGAACTTA